AAATGGGCACAGTATCCACTGTGAGCCTGACAGAAGCTGGCAGCAGTGGCAGACAACTAACTGCTATTCAATCTATAACAGTGAAAAAAGTTTTTTGTTTTTAAATCCAAGCTATTGTGACACCAGATGTAAGTGGTGGCATTGACTGGGGAAATGGACACAGTATGCACTGTGAGCCTGACACAGAAGCTGGCAGCAGTGGCAGACAACTGACTGCTATTCAATCTATAACAGTGAAAAAAGTTTTTTGTTTTTAAATCCAAGCTATTGTGACACCAGATGTAATTGGTGGCACTGACTGGGGAAATGGGCACTGTGAGCCTGACACAGAAGCTGGCAGCAGTGGCAGACAACTAAGTGCATTTACATTACATAGAAAAAAAAATTAAAAAAAGCATACCCTTATCCCTAACCTAGCTATGCTTTTCCCTATCTTATGAACAGCAGCTACACTTTCCCTCCTCTTACTAAGCATGCAGCTTGAGAATGAATCTAAAATGGATGCTGTCCAGTAGGTGGGAGGGTCTGCTAGGGAGGCTGTGCTGCTAATTGGCTGGAATGTGTCTGCTGACTGTGAGGTACAGGGTCAAAGTTTACTCAATGATGACGAATAGGGGGCGGGTCGAACCGCGCATATGTTCCCCCGCCGTGGCGAACGCGAACATACTATGTTCGCCAGGAACCGTTCGCCGGCGAACCGTTCGGTACATCACTAATTGGTGGACTTTCTTATCTCTGGTTTAACAGAAGGCTTCCTACACGGGTATTCTACACATACCATCCGTGTAAAAAACTAGATGAATGGATGTTCATGTGGAATCTTTCTTAATTTCTTCTTGTCTTCAGTTGATTGATATATATACGTCTTTTGTATATATATTCTTGGGCCAAATGCTCGCCACAATAATATATGTCTATATTATTGAAAAGTAGTAATACGCAATCTGACTTACGGTTTCTTCAGGTTTATTCTTAGTTACGGATACATAAAACATAATATAGGATGTTACAGGATAATGGACATTTAACAGCAGATGGTAATTGCTGTACTTCTGATGGGAGAGTTACATCGTTGTACAGAGCCAAGACAAGACTAGACTAGACTGAGAGACCTCGTGTCCCTCTGTTACTATATAGAAGTGCTAATACTAACGTCAGCATATAACTCTAGCCATATAAGGACAAAACCCCCACATCCACATTCCAGAGCTCTCGGACAAAGAAAGCCTTGTGACTTATTGATACCATCTGTTACTTATGTCAATCCACACATCCATATATATAATCAATAGAAACATAGAATATGCAATATTCTACATTCCCTCTGTTTATGGTTTGTTTTAAAACCATAACACAATGTAATTAACCTGTCCATTCATACATCACTTGTATCACATTCATTGAGCATAGAACAAGATGTAGTCACAATTTTCTATTATATGAGAGTTCTTAGAAGGTAGAGTTTCTATCCCTCATACTGCTTACTTTACTTCAAATTCCCTCTGTTTCAGCTATGTATTGATATCCATATCCATGTTACATCATAACTACTTGAACATAATATATACATATATCACAATAATAAATGAATAAAATAAAATATTTACAAATGTTGATCCAATAAACAATAAAGCAATCAGAAAGATCTACCTGCTCAGGTACAATCATGTCTTTGTAGACAACAAAATCAAGATCGTAACTTTCTAAATAATAATAACTGTGTTTCACTATCATATTCCTACAGACACATATAGCATAGTATTTTCATTCTTAATACCTGATATTATTTAAGTACTAATACCTGTATTACTATAATATCCTGTCCAATTAGATTTCCATGAATCATATGGTTTCTAGCAACCTTAAAATCTTTAGGTCATTTTTATTCATGAATTACATTCCTATACCATTAATACCACCTAGTGATGATTGTATCAGTACTTTACAATCATAGTATTTAATTTGTATATTCAGTAGGCTCTCACTACCTGAAATATATCAACACTACTTATAAGACTCATTCAAAGGATGTGTTATCAACCATGAAGTTCTATAATAATTCTTCAATCTAGAAATCTTTCTATCATAGATTTGTTTTAGTTTACATAATTATAATTTTCACTAAAATTCCACCTTGTAGTAACAAACTTTAAATTCAGTCGGAGAAAGGTTTACTTTATAAGAACTTGGAAAGAATATTTTAAATTCATTATCATCACTCTCCTCATTAGCATTGTGATGACTTATTAATGTAATACATCTTAAAAGCAGGATTGTCCTAATGTTCTGACCAATCCTTATTCCTTAGTACACTTCAACTGACTAAAATAAAATAAACAAAAATAAACTTGGGGTCATACTGCCCAGAAACTCTTATTCCTAGTCTGTGTCTTACAAACTCAGGGTAATCATAAACAACTTAACAATGTATTCATTGGATACCATCATATCCAGAAACCTATTCTCCCTAGTCCATACCTTTATAGCCTTAGGTCAAATATAATTGTGTACTATACTCTTTCCATTCAATTCAATTCCTCTTGGATCTTTGAACTCTTATATCCAAGGCTTTCTTAATGTATATAATTACTTAATATTAATCAATATAAATTATCCTTCCTTAGTTTTCTTCCTTATGTTACCATTGTTTGTTTTACTTCACCTCGATATAAACAAATTACTCCTTATAGTTAATCTATGAAATACTATTGAACTCAATCTTTGTGGTATTAAGTAACCATGATCCTTATTTTATCAACTTCATATTTTATCTGCCTCTGATACTTCTCATCCTATGTATAGGTAATAATGTAATAGTTCTTTTCATAATACTATCCTATCATAGTTTTACTCCATGTGTTATATAGCTATAAGTACTCTCTTTTGGTATTAATACTCATAACTATTAAATAACTTTTCATTGTCTCTTTTCTTTTTCGTTAATATTTAGGAATTGATATGTATGTTAGTGTCAATCTTTTATTTCTTTGTAAGTCTGTTAATCTTCTGTATCGAATGAACTCTGTAGAATCTTCCATCACAGTTTGCAGATCAGATGAAAAGTCTCTTTCCAACAGTCGATGTCCAGTTGTCTGAAGGAATACTTTCCTGATTTATTGCCACAAGGATCTGTCACGCTTTACCTACATTAAAACAAATAACATGTGCAGCATCAATACAATGGCTTACAATGTTTATATCTCATTATTATTATACAGTTTAACATTGAATTATATTGACTACACAAAACATACTCATATCCTCTCATGAGATCTACCATCTAGTGGTCATTACATCTATGCGATGTGATGTATAATCTTTAAATTTCCTTTATATTAAAATCTTTCTGAACATTTTATTAATCATACCCCCCTTTTAAACTGTTTAATAATCTGGAGGTATAACCTAATCACATATCAGATGTTACAACAAAATATTGTTTTCCACTATACTTTAGCAATAGCAGCCATTTTGTCTTAACACTGGCACCATTTTGTCACATGAAGCAAACTACAAAAAACATATATTGTTTCCTTCATCAAATGTATTTGTAAATCTAGGTTTTATTCTATCAAAACTTTTGTCTTCTAAATAATCAAAACATATGTATGTCCAGGCTTTGCAAAATATAGTAATCCATTATCAGTCATGATATTAAAATCTCATTCTCATGAATTAAATCAAAGATTTTAAATCAACCTCAGAAGTAACATTGTTTTTTCCTTCTGTAAAATGATTGGAGTTACTGTATAATCGCATACACCCAATATAACCTTGCATGTTCCTAACTGCTACATTAGTGTATTTCATTCTGTCATATTTGCAAACTTGATGTACATTTTTATTTCCATTAATTAACCTAATACTTTCTTATAACACACATAAAACAATGAAAAAACAGTTCAGACTAACAATTCATTAAAACAACAAACTAACATAGATCTCTATTCTTGTGCTGTTTTTAATTCTGGAATCAGCTTGTGTACATCTGTTGGCATACATATCCATGCTTATTCCCTAAACTGATATTTCTTGAAGTTATCTGATTCTTATAACTTTCTGTGTTATACTGCATTGCTTGTCTGTCTCCTAATTTCGATTTAGCTAAAATTGCTCTTATTTGTCTGATTATAAGTTTACAAGGAAAGGCCTTTATTGATTTATCTCCACGTGTATTTTCTCTGTCAAAATTTTCAATCAACAAATTTAATTTCTCATTTGCTTTTGATTTGATATCTCGGATAAAATATCTGCAAGATCTTAAATAATGTTGTTTATTGCACCAAAAACAAATAACTTTAGGAGTTATATTCTGCCTTTTATTATCAACTCTACAGTTTTTAGTTGAATAAATTGGGAGGGGCTCAGCTGTCTGTATCACTCTACACTCTGTCCTAGAAGAAGAAGAAGGAGGGCTGTAAAATCTGCTCTTCTTTCTCTGCCTAAATCCACAATTCGTTTTAACCCCTTCATTCTTGGTTTCCCTCCTTAAGTTATCCAAGAACAAAGCTACTTCTGTCAAAGTGCTTTTTTCTCTAGCTAACACAATTGCAGTTGGATCTAGATCTTGAAATTTTTTCACAAATTCATTAATTAACTGATCTTCAGAAAAATCAGCAACAAGTCTATATGCACTTTCAAATTTTACAAGAAAACTAAATATATCCTCCCCCTTGTGTGGTTTTAGTTTTTCCAACATTTCAGTGTCTCCAAAATCATTCCCTGTTAATTTTATTAATTGTGTTAATCTGTCTTGCTTATTTCCATATATTATTTCATCATTGTCCCCACATTTTACAGGCGCGGTCAGCCTACATGCCATTTGAGTCGGCAGCCATATTTGAAATAGTCTATTCCTTTGTTCGTCATTTAGGCTGTATTTGTCTAAATTAGACTCAAACATTTCAGCATTAGTGAATGCATCCACTGACGTGTCATAAACTGGAATACATTTCACAATTTTCATTAATTGTTCATGGATTTTCAAGTTAAGTTTTGCAGTTCTGTCTTGAAATTTACATTTCTGCAAATCACTCTGTGAGGATACATTTTCAGTATCTGTTAGTTCTGGGATTAGATTCTGTGCTTGTATTTTTCTTGTATTAACACACACTAGTTTAACTTCATTTCCAAGCTGGCAAATAAGATCATTTCTTAATTCAACTCTATCCTCTAATTCACAGACTGTTTCTGACAATGTTCTCTCTGTTACATTGTTACACTGTTCATTTAAATCTGATTTGTCTTCTGTTAACCCATTCAAATCTACTTCTTTTTCTGATGATTCTAAATTTTCTTGACCTACATTTTGTTTACAAATCAATGCATTGTAAGTACAGACTAGTTTCATAACATTTCTGATCTTTTGTTTTTTCTTATTAACAAACAATTTCTTGTCAATTTCAGTATTGGCAATTTCACATTGTGTGTATAAAGATTGCCACAATACAGCATCTGAATAGCTGCTATTAAATGCAAACTGCAATTTACTTTTCTCTGCAATATCATTTATGAATTCCATGTTACTCACCAGATCAGTTATTTCTGTCTATTTCGTTGCTTCATCCACACAGCTGCGCAGTTCTTTGCTTGGACGCTTGCCAATGTCTGCCACGTGCTTGCTTCTAGAATTCACGTTGTATCTTGTGCTTTTTGTCTCAGTTGTAGAAAATAGTCTTGTACAGTCTTTATGATTTGAAAACTCTATTTTTCTTACAAACCACAGTTCTTCTATGATTCAGTCTAGATTCTTTTTTTCTCTTCAAGTTTGTTTTCCCAGTTCCAAAATAGCTTTGTAACTCGATTCTTCTCTCTCCCCCCTTGAAGTGGGAACAAAACTTTGAATAGAAGACTGGCAGGCTAGCCAATGTAAAAAACTAGATGAATGGATGTTCATGTGGAATCTTTCTTAATTTCTTCTTGTCTTCAGTTGATTGATATATATACGTCTTTTGTATATATATTCTTGGGCCAAATGCTCGCCACAATAATATATGTCTATATTATTGAAAAGTAGTAATACGCAATCTGACTTACGGTTTCTTCAGGTTTATTCTTAGTTACGGATACATAAAACATAATATAGGATGTTACAGGATAATGGACATTTAACAGCAGATGGTAATTGCTGTACTTCTGATGGGAGAGTTACATCGTTGTACAGAGCCAAGACAAGACTAGACTAGACTGAGAGACCTCGTGTCCCTCTGTTACTATATAGAAGTGCTAATACTAACGTCAGCATATAACTCTAGCCATATAAGGACAAAACCCCCACATCCACATTCCAGAGCTCTCGGACAAAGAAAGCCTTGTGACTTATTGATACCATCTGTTACTTATGTCAATCCACACATCCATATATATAATCAATAGAAACATAGAATATGCAATATTCTACAATCCGGAACTCTGAAATGCCCTAATCTACAATCCGCACAACATAATCCCAGAGCTGTTGACACTCTCATAGCCCAAGAAGTTGCTGAGGGTTTCGTATTAGGGCCTTTCAAAGCTCCTCCATTCAAAGAATGGCGTACTAACCCCATTGGTATTGTCACAGGGAAATATTCCCTTAAACATAGACTCATCATTGACTTGTCTGCACCACACTCATCGGCCAACCCCAGTCTTAATTCCCTCATACCCTCCGAGGAATTCTCCCTGCAATACACCATCATAGATCACTCCATTACAGTGATCATACAAGCAGGGGTCAGAGCCTGGCTTAGTAAGACCGATATTACCAATGCCTTTAAATTGCTACCAATCCACCCCACACTGTGGCACCTGCATGGAATCAAGTGGGCCGGGAACTACTATTTTTTCTCCCGTTTAACTTTTGGGTCCAAAAGTAGCCCAGCTATTTTCGACACATCTGCCGAAGCATTGTGCTGGTTACTATTGAACATAGCCAGGTGTACCAATCTCCCCTAAAAAAAATGTAGGGGCCAGACACAATTATCACTTTCCTGGGTATTCAATTAGACTCAACCACAATGCAAGCAAGCCTACCACACGACAAGATAGAGAACATTCTTACTTACATCAACCGCTACCTTCAGCTCGGTACTTGCAACCGCAAAGAGCTACAGTTCCTGCTGGGGTCACTAAATTTTGCCATGCGTATCATAATTCAAGGCCGCTCCTTCATATCACGACTCTTGTATCTTTTTCCACGCTTCCTACACGACACACACAGGTTGTCCTTAGATAACCAAGCTACGGCAGACCTATGCATGTGGAAGGAATTTTTAACCACTTGGAATGGTAAAAGTATGTTCCTCCCTCAATTGACTGACTCATCACCTACTATTTGGTCAGATGCGGCATCTACCACAGGTTTTGCAGCAATTTTTGGGAACGAATGGTTTTGGGGCAGCTGGCCTACAGCAGTTCAGGATTTGGAAGTTTTTTCCACTACCTCAGCTCTCTTTGAGATCTATCCCATTGTGGCGGCTGCCGTAGCATTGGGTCATTTATGGGCAAATATGCCAGTTCGTTGTTACTCAGACAACCAGGCAACCTGTCACATCATCAACAAAGGTCGCTCCAAATCCCTTACGATCATGAGATTTCTGAGGAAACTCACGTGGTTGGCAGCTTGTCATAATTTCTTTCTATATTTTTTCCATGTTCCAGGAATATGTAACACAGCTGCTGACAGTTTGTCTCGTTTTAAATTTCAGGCATTTCATCAAGCACTCCCATCAGCTGCGCTCACAGGCACTACCACTCCAACATTTCAGCAACTAATACTGGACTGGACATCATCATGTATCATAGCAGGACACTGTCTCAATTGGCACTGTCAAAGAATACACACAAAACATACAACAGGGCTTTTACACTATTCAAAATATTCCTTTTGGAACATCATGCAACCATTTGTTATGACATCTTCCTTGGGTTTTGCTTATTTTTGCCACCTTAAACTTAAAATGTCATATAACACCATCAAAATGTATCTCACAGGCATTCAACACCATATGCTAATCTTACAACCTAACAACACTAGTTTCATGGCCTCTCACCAGATCAAGACCATACTCAGAGGCATTCAGAAATCTGAACCCACACATACATCACAGAGGCTACCCATAGATAACCATATATCCAAGGCATTATCTAACCTGCTTGATTTAAAACCTTTTGACACCAATACAAATTCTGTCATCAAAGCAGCAATATACATAGCTTTCTATGGATTCCTAAGACCTAGAGAGTTTACTACAACCAACATAACACAATCTGCTCCTATTCACCTCTATTCCCACCTAACAAAACACATGAATCATTACATCCTAACGCTACCTCACTCCAAAACCAGGCAGCACATACCAGTAAACATTCCATACTAACCCACGCACAACAAGTGGTGCCCCGTCAAGGTTCTGGATGCATACCTACAGCATCATATTTCAATACCATCACAACCATTACTACTATTACAAAGTTTGGTACTCACCATTACAACCTTCATGACCTACGTCAGGTCTTTGCTCACTCAACTGGGCCTCAAAGCAGCTAACTACTCAGGGCACTCCTTCCGCATAGGAGCAGCGTCCACAGCCTCCAGTTTCAACATTCCAGTTCATGTTATAAAAACACTGGGGCGCTGGAAGTCATCCGCTTACTCACGATACATACCGAACCCAGTACAAGAATTAAGGGATGCTTTCAAAAACATGTCTGGTTGATATATGTATCTGTATTGGTTGTCTGTAATAAATTTGATTACTTAATTTTTGCCCTCTTCTTTCTCAGGCCTACCTCATCGTCGGTTCCGGCACACCACAACCGACTTGCCCTTTTTACTATCCTACATTTAATTATGGTATTTTACTCTGTACTATCATGAGCACCTAACACAAGTATTAAGGCAATTTGCCTGGATTTGTGGGAGGTGCTTGGTATACACTCCTAGCCTACTTAAGGCACACCCCTTACCTTGCTCTTTATCGTTCGAGGTCAGCGTTGAATGACCCTCCCACCACACCACATTTTAACATTTATTTCCTTTCTATTTCTTTTTCCTGGGTAGGCCCTCTTCTTTCTCAGGCCTACCTCATCATCGGTTCTGGCACACCACAACCGACTTGCCCTTTTTACTATCCTACATTTAATTATGGTATTTTACTCTGTACTATCATGAGCACCTAACACAAATATATATATATATATATATATATATATACATATACATATATACAGTAATTGTATATATAATATATATATATTAATAAAATTAAAACAATACATCAAATAAATAAAATAATACATTTAAAAAATAAATTATATATATATAACAAAAAATGTAATGTTTTATTTTATATATATATATATATATATATATATATATATATATGCAATTTCTTTCTAAAAGTGTTTTGATAATAATAATAATATATATATATAGTTATCAAAATACACTTAGATTATATATATATATATATATATATATATATAATTTCAAAAATAAGGCTTGCACTCACGGTCTGTAGTAATGTTAAAAATTCTTCTTTATTCCAATATTCTTAAAACAAATCTGTAGTCATCAACGTTTCAGCCATCACTCGTGGATTTCATCAGGATCTACAGATTTGTTTTAAGAATATTGGAATAAAGAAGAATTTTATATATATATTATTAATTTTTAACATTACTACAGACCGTGAGTGCAAGCCTTATTTTTGAAATACTCTATATTGTTTGGCTATGGCTATTATGCACCCGGCATTTTTTGAATTTTGAAAGTGTGTGTGCAGGGTACCAGAGCAAGTTATATATATAGATAGATATATATATAAAATAAATAAATATATACGTACAAATAGATATAATTGCATAAATATGCACGTAGGATTTAAATACATATATATATATATATATATTTAAATTCTACATGTATATTTATGTAATCTTTTAACATAATTAAGTCATTTTATTAATTATAATTTGAGGGACCATCCTGACAACCCAGGCAGCAAGTTCAGGAAATTTAATTTGCAAGTCCTATGTTTATCCCTGTAACTTTCCAAAACACCATAAAACCTGGACATGTGGGGGTATTATTGTACTTGGCAGACTTCGCTGAACACAAATATGTGTGTTATAAAACAGTAAAACTTATCACGACGATGATATCCCCAGCAAAAGTGCAGTTTTTGTGTAGAAAATGCAAAAAAAAAAAAATATGAACGCTAACTTTGGCTAGCGTTTGTGACTATGTGGCTACTAAAAAAACATTGGACATACCCCATTTTGAATACCCTGGGTTGTCTACTTTTTCAGATGGTATACCATGGTGGGGTTAATTCACATTTCTGGGTTACCATACCGTTTCAAAGGCAACATAGCCAATCTGGCAAATTTAAATTTGCAAAAACAGAAATTGGCAAATCTTATATTTGAACCTGTAACTTTGCAAAACACCATAAACCTGTACATGAGGGGTACGGTTGTACTCTTGAGACAGTACTCTACACAGATATGAGTGTTTTAGAGCAATGTATAATACTAATGATATAATTGGTGAAAGGGCAGTTTATTTGTTAAAAATGCAAAAAAAAAAAATATATAAACGCTACCTTTGCCAGGTTTTGTGACTAAGTGGCTACTAAAAAAGACTGGACATACCCCATTTTGAACACCCTGGGTTCTGGCTACGTTTACAAATGGTATGCCAAGGACAACTGTTACATAAAAGGAAATAGATTTTTAAAATCAAGTATTGAAAAGATTTTTTTTTTTTTTAAATGAAGCATATGTAAAAAGAAATTAGAAAACCTCATCCCTATCTTTACTATGTGACAGGATTCTTCAGCCATAAGGATACAACTTTGGTCAGATAGTTGTTTGAAAACTGCCAATTAGTCTCTATGGTCTTCCTTGTTTCCATGCAGTGAGTGAAGCAGGGAAGACCATAGAGACTGTCAGTTTTCAAACACCGTCTTACCCAAGGTGTATCCATATGGCTTTAAGGGATTTTCTAGTGCCCGGAAAACAAACCTGTTTTCCAGGCACTAGAGCATCTTGGAGTGCCCATCTCCGGCCCCCCCATCCCACGTCGCTGAAGGGTTTTAAAACCCCTTCAGCCACTTACCTGAATCCAGCACCGATGTCCCTCAGTGCTGGGTCAGGCTCCGCCCACACTCTTCCCCCGCCGGCGGGGGAGACCTAATGCGCATGCGTGGCAATGGCCGCTCCCATGCATTAGACCTCCCCATAGGAAAGCATTATTCAAGGACGTCCATCGTTGTTTAGTTGACCAAAAGTCGAAAGTCCCTCTAGTGGCTGTTTGGTAGACAGCCACTAGTGGAAGACTTAACCCTGCAAGGTAATTATTGCAGTTTATAAAAAAACTTCAAAAATTACACTTGCAGGGTTAAGGATCATGGGAGTTGGCACCCAGACCACTTCAATGAACTGAAGTGGTCAGGGTGCCTACAGTGTCACTTTAAGTGTTCAACATTATTTATACCCATGCTACCATTTACCTGGTTTAGTGTTCCTGCACTATTATCCCACACATTCAGCTACTGGCTGGGTGCCTTGGCGTAATTGTGGGTTACTTCTCCTGCGATTAGTGCCCGGATTCTCCCTTATAGTTCCCTGACTCCCCCCCGAGCACTGTGGATTTTAGAGCTAATGCTAGGCTGGCCCCTGTTTCCTCTTGTGGCTTAAATAAGACAGTATTTTCACGTGGTTGCGGAGACTCAGCGGCCATTCTATAGTCCTACATGGCATTAGCACCCAAAGGTGAGCCCCTCCTTCAGTACTATTAATCTACTTCAGTTCTGTCAGCACACAGTACAAACTCTGCCCATCAGTTATTTGAGTTTTAGATTGATTCCTAGGGATACCATGGCTCTTTTCACTTCCCAGAACCAAGACCTATAATCCCTGATTAATGCAACCATTGCTGCCACAATGGAGAAGGCACTCAGCAAAGT